ATATATATATATATATAATATATATATATATATATATATATATATATATATATATATATATATATATATATATTATATATATATATATATATATATATATATTATATATATATATATATATATATATATATATATATATATATATATATATATATATATATATATATATATATATATATATATATATATATATATATATATATATATATATATATATATATATATATATATATATATAACACTTCGAACACGAAGTGTTTTCGGAGCGCGAGCATTGAAGATGCCAAGTGAGATTTTGGCGAAACGTCTGCGGGATTCCAGTCGGATGCAGGATTTGCAGGATTCCAGTCGGATGCAGGATTCCAGTCGGAGTTCAACGAGCGAACGGATGATATCCCGGAATATAGTGTCATCACATTTTTCCATCCGTGAATCAATACGTGAGAATATATATATATATATATATATATATATATATATATATATATATATTATATATATATATATATATATATATATATATATATATATGTATATGTATATATATATATATATATATATATATATATATATGTATATATATATATATATATATATATATATATATATATATATATATATATATATATATATATATATATAATCAGTTCTTTCTTCAGTTAATTAGTACCTGTCTTCAACAAAACGGATACCAAAGGCGCACCATCAACAAGGTAATCAATAAACAACAACAGCCGCAGCAGAGAGTGCAGGACGAGACCCAACGAAGATCGATCGCTGTCCTGCCATACATCAAGGGGGTTACTGACAAAATCGGCCGAATATTACGGAAACACGACATATCAACGGCATACAAACCTGACCATACCATCGGAGCAATACTAAGAAACCCAAAACAAAAAATTACTCTGGAAAACCAAGGAGTATACAGTGTAGCATGCGGATCGTGCAGCCTGACGTATGTGGGACAGACCAACAGAAGGATTTCAGCCAGGCTCGAGGAACATCGTTTAGCCATAAGAAACAAACAAACAACATCTGCTTTGTTTCAGCACCAACATCAGACAGGCCATAAAATTGATTTCGGCACTTGCAAACAAATAGCTAATATTCCTGATTTTAGGACTAGGATTATACGAGAGGCCATCGAAATAGAAAAGTCCGGACACCTCAATACGAGAGACGACGCTCTGCATTTATCCAACACGTGGAGAACGATAATCAAACAGCAGAGCGATGCGCAGCAGCCAACGGGGACATCGCAACTACGATCGGGCGAAATTAACAACGCGACAATTCAGGGGGCGGAGCCACCTCCCCCCACGCACAAGCAGCACCGTTACCATCTCCGGCGCAGAGTATAAATACCACACGCACCGCCGATAACCTCCCAGTGTTCGAAGTGTTTTCGGAGCGCGAGCATTGAAGATGCCAAGTGAGATTTTGGCGAAACGTCTGCAGGATTCCAGTCGGATGCAGGATTCCAGTCGGAGTTCAACGAGCGAACGGATGATATCCCGGAATATAATGTCATCACATTTTTCCATCCGTGAATCAATACGTGAGAATATATATATATATATATATATATATATATATATATATATATATATATATATATATATATATATATATATATAAATATATATATATATATATATATATATATATAAATATATATATATATATATATATATATATATATATATATAAATATATATATATATATATATATATATATATATATATATATATATATATATATATATATATATATATATATATATATATATATATATATATATATATATATATATATATATATATATATATATATATTCTCACGTATTGATTCACGGATGGAAAAATGTGATGACACTATATTCCGGGATATCATCCGTTCGCTCGTTGAACTCCGACTGGAATCCTGCAAATCTTGCATCCGACTGGAATCCTGCAGACGTTTCGCCAAAATCTCACTTGGCATCTTCAATGCTCGCGCTCCGAAAACACTTCGAACACTGGGAGGTTATCGGCGGTGCGTGAGGTATTTATACTCTGCGCCGGAGATGGTAACGGTGCTGCTTGTGCGTGGGGGGAGGTGGCTCCGCCCCCTGAATTGTCGCGTTGTTAATTTCGCCCGATCGTAGTTGCGATGTCCCCGTTGGCTGCTGCGCATCGCTCTGCTGTTTGATTATCGTTCTCCACGTGTTGGATAAATGCAGAGCGTCGTCTCTCGTATTGAGGTGTCCGGACTTTTCTATTTCGATGGCCTCTCGTATAATCCTAGTCCTAAAATCAGGAATATTAGCTATTTGTTTGCAAGTGCCGAAATCAATTTTATGGCCTGTCTGATGTTGGTGCTGAAACAAAGCAGATGTTGTTTGTTTGTTTCTTATGGCTAAACGATGTTCCTCGAGCCTGGCTGAAATCCTTCTGTTGGTCTGTCCCACATACGTCAGGCTGCACGATCCGCATGCTACACTGTATACTCCTTGGTTTTCCAGAGTAATTTTTTGTTTTGGGTTTCTTAGTATTGCTCCGATGGTATGGTCAGGTTTGTATGCCGTTGATATGTCGTGTTTCCGTAATATTCGGCCGATTTTGTCAGTAACCCCCTTGATGTATGGCAGGACAGCGATCGATCTTCGTTGGGTCTCGTCCTGCACTCTCTGCTGCGGCTGTTGTTGTTTACTGATTGCCTTGCTGATGGTGCGCCTTTGGTATCCGTTTTGTTGAAGACAGGTACTAATTTTCTTCAGTTCTTTATCTCTGTTCCTCTCGTTTGTGAGCCTGAAGGACCGAGCAATTAATGTATTTGCCACTGCCTGTATCTGTGATGGGTGGTGATGAGATTTAGCGTTCAGATATCTATTAGTGTGTGTTGGTTTTCTATAGACAGTGTGTTCCAAGTGTCCATCTTCGGTCCTTGTGATGTGCACATCTAAAAAGGGCAGACTGTTATCCTCTTCAAGTTCTATTGTAAATTGAATCCTTGG